CCACGTTCATAGAATTTCTGGAAGCAAGCCATTTTGGAAGTGGATGCCACTCCTGCTTCCAAGCTTGTTTTAATCAGGGAGCTCCACCAAACACTTTCCACCATGGGTAACCATTATCATATTTTGACACATCATTGTCACAGTGTTTAGCATCATAGCAACCACAAGTTACCTCTGTACAGCAAATGGACAGACCAATGCTGTACCACTTAGAAGAATGACCCAAAACAATTAAAACCAGGCCTGAGGGCCACAGATTAAAATCACCCAACTTTGGCTTTATAGCATAACTTTCTATCTACTAGGTCAACAGAGCTCTCTCTATGTTGTTGTTGTTAAGTGCTGTGGTGTTGTAGATGACTCATAGCAACCGTAAGAGTCAATATTCCACCATAATCCTCACCAGAACCAACAAACAAGCTTCTGTAGAATCTGGCTGCTGCTATATATAGCTTAAAGCTCTCATGGACTCATGGTAAGGAGTTGCACTGGCAACCAAAAGACAAGAAATTCTAATATACCAGCTACTCCATGGAGAAATATGGGCAATCTCTTCTCATGTGTTTACAGCCTCCAAAACCTGCTGGGGTTGCGGGGGTCACTTCCAACTTGGTGACACATAACAAAAGTAAGTCTACATGCAACTACATATATATGTAACTATTTATATATAAGTAGTAACCCATTGCTGTCAAGTTGATTTTGACTCACAGTAACTCCGTGTGACAGAGTAGAAGTGCTGTGTGTGTGCATGTTTGTATATATGTATATAGGTTTTACCATGTATGTGTGTAACTGTCTTTGCTGTCAAGATGCTTCTCTGAGGAGATAGTTGAACAACAGAAAAATGAACTTGTATCAGAATGCTGAGTTCATTCATGCCTATGGATGTAGAGCTAAATGAGGGTGCTCAGCTGCTCGAAGAGGGTCAGGAGACCTGCCTACAGAGGTAAGACTGACTGGTGAGATGCTCTCCAGGTAGGATCAGGTACTTTCTTAGTAGTAAAGGACACTCTAGACAGAGAATATGTGTCAGAGGCACAGACTGTGATAAACCATGGTATGTTCTTTACAAGTAACTTGGTTAGTAGATCACAAGCTGTTAGAGGCAGGAAGATATAATTGAAAGGGGAAGCAGAGCAGTAGTAAGGGTTATGTAAGCCATGTACCCTGCTGGTGATGAAGAGTCCCTACAGGGCTTTACAAGAGCATGACATAAGGATCAGAAGTACATCTTACAAAAATGAGTGATTTTCAAATGAATTGATAGCAGCATGGAGAATAACTTAAAAAGGGACAAGTCAGTAGGCAAGGGGAACCATAAATGAATTCATACAGTAGTCCAGGTCAGAGGTGAGGGTAGGAGATGACTCAAGAGAAAATAGACATTATGGCAACTTCATAGTTATTTGGATAAATAGGACACAAGAGAATATGTTAAGAGCAGTTCCAATGCCCAAGTACCATGATGGATCACACTAAACAGAATTGTTTAGAGGGTCTTGGATAGAGTAAAAGAAAAATGTGAAACAAAACTCAAAATCATTAAAAGAAAAAAAAAAGACCCAGCCTGAGGCTCAGCTAGAGACTGGCAGAACCTACAAGCTATGACCTTTAATCACTCTTTAGGCCTACAACTAAGCTCACTACTGTGTCTCAGTTTTCAGTCAGATAAATAGACTTATAAGGTTAACTATGAATGTAGGAAAATTAGATATTGTTAAGAAGGAAATGGAATGCATAAATATTGACATACTAGGTACTGGCAAGATGAGATGGACTGGTGTGGGACATTTTGAATCAGATCTACTATGCTGGAGATGAAAAGGTGAGGAAAAAAGGGGTTGCTTTCATAGTTTAAAAAGTAATTTCTAGATCCATCTTGAAATATAATATTATGAGTTACAGGATAATATCCATACACATAAAAAGAAGTCAAATAAGTACCACTATCATGCAAATATACGCACCAACAACCATAGCCAAAGAAGAGGAAATAGAAGATTTCTACAAACTTTTACAGTCAGAGATCAATCGAACATGTAGTCAAGATGCATTAATAATAATGGGTGACTGGAATGCAAAAGTTGGGGACAAAGAAGAAGGATCAGTAGTTGGAAAGCATGGACTTGGTGACAGAAATGAAGCTGAAGATAGGATGATAGAATTTTGTACAATCAATGATTTATTCATTGCAAATACATTTGACAAGAAACATAAATGCAGGCTATATACACATGGATTTCACCTGATGGTATGGGTAGGAATCAGATAGATAAACTACATCTGTGGAAAGAACTACTGGAGAAGCTCAATATCAGCTGTGAAAACTAGTCTGGGTGCTGATTGTGGAACAGATCACCAACTACTCATGTGCAAGTTTAAGGTGAAGCTAAGGAAAGTGAAATCAAGTCCATGGGAACCAAAATATGACCTTGAACCTATCCCACCTGAATTTTAGAACCATCTCAGGAACAGATTTGGGGCCTTGGATACTGAGTGAACACCAGATAAGTTATGGGAAGATATCAAGAATATCATCCAGGAAGAGTGCAAAAGGTTGTTGAAAGACAGAGGAGGAAGAAAAGACCAGAATGGATGTCAGAAGAGACTCTGAATATTACACTAGAGCACTGAGAAGCCAAAGCAGAGGAAAGAAATCAAGATATTAAGTAACTGAACAGAAGATTTCAAAAGGCAGTGGGGCAAGGCAAAGTCAAGTATTATAATAAAATGTGCAAAGAGTCAGAAAATGAAAGGGGCTGAACTCGCTCAGCATTGTTTAAACTCGAGGCGCTGAAGAAGAAATTCAAGTCTTGAGTTGCAATACTTAGGATGCTTTGGGCAGAATATTAAATGATCCTGAAAGTATTAGAAGAAGATGAAAAGAGTATACAGAGTCATCATATCAAAAGGAATTGGCAGTCACAGTCACAGAAGAACTTAATGAAACAACATATGAGCCTGTGCTTTTAAAGGAAGAAGTTCAAACTGCTTTGAAAGAATTGGCTTAGAAGAAGGCACCAGGAATTGATGGTATACCAATTGACATATTTCAGTTAACAGATGCTACCCTAGATGTGCTCACCCAAGTTATGCCAAGAAATCTGGAGAACAACCACTGGCCAACTGACTGGAAGAGATCTATATTTGTACCCTTTCCAAAGAAAGGTGATCCCACAGAGTGTGGAAATTATCAAACAATATTATTAATATCACATGCAAGCAAGATTCTATTGATTATCCAAAAGCGACTGGAACAGCACATCAGCAGAGAACTACCAGAAGTGCAGGCTGGGTTTAGATGGGGTCATGGTACTAGGGATATTGTCACTAATGTTAGATGGATCTTGGCTGAAATCAGGGAGTACCAGAAGAATGTCTATCTGTGTTTCATTGATTATGTGAAAGTGTTTGACTGTGTGAATCACAAGAAACTGGGGCTGACTCTCAGAAGAATGGGAATCCCAGAACACTTGATTGTGCTAATGCAAAACCTATGCTTGGACCAGGAGGCAGTTGTCAGAACAGAACAAGAAAACACTGCATGGATCAAAATTGGGAAGGGTGTACACCAGGGATGTATTCTATCTCCATACCTTTTCAACCTTTATGCAGAACAGAGTATCTGGGAAGCTGGGCTCTATGAGGAGAAATGTGGTATCAGGATTGGAGAAAGACTCATCAACAATCTGTGTAATGCAGATGACACAACCCTGCTTGCTGAAACTGAGGAGGACCTGAAGCACTTGCTGTGGAAGGTCAGGGGCTGGAGTCTTCAGTATGGATTGAGGCTCAATATCAAGAAAACAAAGATTCTCACCACTGGGCTGATTGGCAGCAACATGATGGATGGTGAAGAGATTGAGATTGTTCAGTTTTAGTTTGCTTGGCTCCACAGTCAACACTCTTGGCACCAGCAGCCAGGAAATTAAAAGACATATTGCAATAGGAAAGTCTGTGGTTAGAGACCTCTCTAAAGTGCTGAAGAGCAACAATGTCAGTCTGGAGAATAAGGTGCACCTGATATAGACCATGGTCTTTGCATTCACTTGCTATGCATCAGAGAGCTGGCAGTGACTAGGAATGATAGAAGGAGAATTGATGACTTTGAACTGTGGTGCTGGAGAAGAGTATTTAATATACCATGGACTGCTAAGAAAACGAACAGATTTGTCCTGGAGAGTGTGAAGCCAAGCTGCTCCCTGGAGGCAAGGGTTCTGAAGCGTCATCTAACATACTTTGGACATGTTGCAAGGAGGGACTGTCCTTGGAGAGGGAGGTCATGCTTGGGAGGGTAGAGAGAGACAGAGCAGGAGAGGAAGACCCTCAGTGAGATGGATTGTTTCAGTGACTGGGGTAATGGGGTAGGTGTGTCAGAGAGTGAAATTGGCACACGATAGGACAGGGTTTAGGGTTGTTGTACACAGGGTCTCTTTGAGTCGCAGGCAACTCAATGGCACATAACAACATACGGTGAACAACTCCTCTAGGGAGGGTCTTCGTTCCTTAGAACAAGCAGCTTTGCCCAGGCAAAAAGTTCAGAGGGCAGAAAGGGTTAGGAAAGGAGGAATAGAATGAGAGACAAAGGGAAGATGGAGAATGAAGGGTGTTCTGTTGTTGACACAGTAATCAGTGATATGAAACAAAATATGTAAATTGTTGAATGGATCCCTGATGGAAGAACTCTGATAATTTGTTGTGCTCATCTCTGTTCTACTTTTAATTTTGTTTATCAGGACTATGCGTTACAACTGCATTTTTGAAAGGGGTAAAGAGATGTCTTTGGAGCTTGCATGACTGGATAGATGGCAGTGCCACTGAGGTTGGGAATACAGGAAAAACAAAGGAATAAGATAGTGAATTTAATTTTAAACCTGTGAACTTTGAGATATCTGTAAAATACTCAGGTATTCTCAAAGAGGGAAAATCCTTTCTTAGATGTTGTTGTTTTGTACCAGCAAGTAAGAACTGACCCATAGCTGACCCTCCAGTGGGTTTTCAGAGGCATGGGAGGAGATTCATTTCATGGGAGGAGATGGACCATCCTTCTCCCAGGGAGCAGCTGGTAGATTTGAACCATGCACCTTTGGGACTGCAGCACAGATATTGGGGCTTGGGGGTGAGAAAGACCATTTAGTTCAATGCTGCATATATACCTATATGAAACCTAGACTTAAATAAAATTTCTTGTTATTGTTGTCATATACTTTCAAGTCAGAACCAACCCATAGCTTAGGCTCCAGTAGGTTTTCAGAGACAGTTTATCACATGGGAGGATATTGTCCATCCTCCTGCAGAGCAGGTGGTGGATTCAAACCTTGTACCTTTGGGTTGGCAACACAACTCTTTACCACTCAGCCACCAGAACCCCTAAATCAAACTAGATTGTCTTTCATTTGCATAGTCCTGACATCTCTCCAGGATTCCTCCTACTGCAAGGAGAGGGCTGCACTGGCCCAGGAGGAGCCTTTCCGAGAAGCTTCTCTGATAGCCTTGACGTCCAGATCTCTCCCTGCTGTTTTCAACTCTGTTGTAGTCTACACTAGTTCTGAGTCCTTCCTTGTCAATACAATGGTCTTTTTTATTATTATATCAAATGTCACTTGAGGTTTAGGAGATTATGACCCTATAACAGTTTTCACATAAAGTAATTTGCTCATTTAACCCTCTTACAGTCTGGAAAATAAGGTCAAGGAAACAATGCGCAATGCCTTTTGGGATCATGTTAAAGAGCAACTGTCAGCCAGTCCTCCCAACTTCACATGTGCTCTTGAACTTCTGAAAGAAATTAAACTGGTGAGTGACCACCCTTCCTTTTGTGAACATGAAGTTCCTAGGCGTCCCCAGTTCATTGGTGTGTCAGTGGTTACCAAATTGTGAGTGGTGTCCATGTGAGTCAGTGTCTAATAAGGAGACACAAATCATACATAAATTTTAACGGGAAAGGTTTACTATAAGAATCATTATGATGGGATAGGAGAAAGAACTTGGCTAGTATGCAGTAAAAAGAATTTCAAAGAATACTAGAATGGAGATTTAAGTAGTAGCTCCTGTTCCTAGTGCTGAGCTAGAACACCCTAGAACCTTGTTGAAGAGGGCACAGCTTTGACTCGTTGAATGGCAGTGAATTGTAGTGTGATGCCAAGTGCTCTTGAATGCCACTCATTCATGGAGAGGTGTCTTGCTGGAATCGCTCTGCTATAAACCCTTCTGAGTGCCAGGGGAAACTGCTGGCTGCTGTGTGCTGCTGACCACATGTACTATAGGTTTTGGATGTGTGAGAGGCACTGGAGAAGCAACTCCCTGCTCTGCAGGAGCCGAGCTCTGGAGATGCTATACATGCTGCGAAGCCTGCCAAGCAGGTGTTCCAGAACCAGAAGGAAAAGTCCCTCCTATTTAGCATGTGGTGGACATACCCTAAAGTGACATCCAGTGAGCAGAGGCTCTTTTATATAATGCCCTCTCCTTGAATGTATATGAAACTTATAATTTGCTTATAATCAAAGAATGTGGCAATATGATAGGACCTGGAGGGAGAGACTCACCTGGTCCTGAAGAAGCAAATAGCCTTGTTGTAAACTACTCGTGTTATTGTTGTTAGGTGCCATCAAGTTGACCATGACTCATAGTGACCCTGTAAGCAACAGGTCTGAACCTTGCCCTGTATTGTGCCATCTGCATGATCTTTGTCCTGCTCAAGCTTTTGTGCTGGTCACTGTGGCATTCATCTTGTTGAATGTGTCAGTCCCCTCTTTGACTGACCCTCTACCTTCCCCATCATGATGTTTCTCTCTCCAAGTACTAGTTCCCCCTGAAAATATGCCCAAAGTAAGTGAGATGATGTTGTATCATCCTTACTTGTATGGAGCACTTCCTTTAAGACAGAGTTGTTTGCTCTTTTGGTAGTCTGTGGTATATTCAATACTTTTTGCCAACAACACAACTCAATACCGTTGATTCTTCTTCTGTCATCCGTATTCACTGTCCAACTTTCAGATGCAAGGGAAGCAATTGAATATATCATGGCCTGGTTCAGGCACACCTTAGTCTTTAAACTAACATCCTTATTCTTTAGAATTTTGGAGAGGTCCTTGACAGTAGATTTCCCCAGTGTAACATGTCTTGATTTCTTAATTGCTACTACCTTGGGTGTAGATTATGGATCCAAGTGAAATGAAATTGTTGACAACTTCAATCTTTTTCTCATCTATCATGATGTTACCTGTTGGCCCAGTGGGGGGAATGTTTGTTTTCTTGATGTTGAGCTTCATTTTTACTCCTCTCTCCTGATTTTCCCATCCCTAGCGGTTAACCATCCAACAATGAATGTGCATATAAACCTTTTTCTAGCTTTGTACTCTAATTGTCTTATTGTCCTTTTTTGACTGACATCTATCAGATTATTTTCTTTTGTTTTTCAGTGCTTCTTAATATTCCATTGTGTGAATATGCCATAGATTCTTTAGCCATTAGTCTGTTGAAAGCCATACTTGGGTTGTTTCCATCTCTTTGCTTTATAAATAATGCTGCAAAGAACATGTTGTTGTTGTTGTTGTGTCCAGTGGAGTTGAGGCTGACCCATAGCTGACCGTACAGTGGGTAGTAAATTGCACAGGAAGAGATTGTCCATCTTTCTGTCATGGAGCAACTGACAGATTTGGACAACGTACCTTTGGGTTGGCAGCACAATTCTTTACCACCAGAGCTCCAGTAGGTGTGTATATATCTGTTCAGTTCAGAGCTCTTACTTCTTTGGGATATATACCGAGTAGTGGGATTGATAGTCTTTTTATTTTCAGTTTTCTAAGGAAGGGTCAAACTGATTTCCATAGTGATTGTACCATTTTACATTTCCAACAGCAATATATGAAAGTTTCAATCTCTACACATCCTTACCAACATTAGTTTTCCGTGTTACTGAATTTTATTATTGTTGCTGTGGTGAGATGATTATTGTTTTGATATGTATTTCTCTGATAATGATTCAGGTAACTCTTTATAGTTCCTTTTCTCTATTTTCTTCTTGCCATGAGTGTTGATTGTTGAGTCAAGTAAAATGAAATCATTGACAGTTTCAATTTTTCTACATCTGCTGTGATGTTAGCTATTGGTTCAGTGGTGAGGGTTTTTGTTTTCTTCATGTTGAGATGTTTTCCATATTGAAGGCTATAAAGTCTTTGATCTTCTTCAGTAAGTTTTCCAGGTCGTCTTTACTTTGAGCAACCAAGGTTATGTCATCTGCATAGCACAGGTTATCAATCTTTCTCCAGTCCTGATGCCCACTTTGTTCTTCGTAGAATGCAGTTCCTGAAATTATTTACTCAGCACATAGGATATTTAGGAGTCCAATTTCCTGATCCTCAGGAGACACAGACAGGGATTATTTTGGCTAATGGGGCTGTCCATTGGAGAAAGTTTTGGACTCTAAACAGTGCTGTTTCTGTTTTTTACTTTCTTTCCTGGACAGATCTTGCTGTCATTGCTGTTGCCACGCCAGATCCGCCTAAAAAGTGAGATCGAAGAAACCCTGAACATGGACCTCCGCAAGCAGGAAGCAGAGCACGGGACTCTGGATGTCCCTCATCTCTCTAAGTGCATTCTCAATACTATGGCATTGCTGTGTGCACCAGTTCGAGATGAAGCAATACAGAATTTGGAGAACCTTACGGACTCTGTTCAGTTACTGAGGTGTGAAATTTGAAAGATGAACCTACCTCGGACCATGAGCATAAAGTAGGGCCAGACACTGGATTGTAGCCCATGTCTTACCTGCCTATTCCCTATGAAACACTTGACCTATACCTCTTAACTATTCTCTAACCCCTCCTCAAAGGCTAAATCATAGGGCCCTCCTTTAGTCATCCTTAGATTAGGCTCCATGGATGACATACCACCATAAAACATTAGAATATGTATTTCTTTTCTCCTAGAAGTAAAAATACTCAAGGTATTCTCTGTTCTAGTTCATATGTTATGACAGCAATAGGGATGGAAAGTTATCCTTATTTTCTAGCTAGAAGAACCAAAAGGTAGAAAGTTGGAGTAAGTGGCCAGTGAGTCTTGCTCCCATTCCCCAAAGAGAATTTTGACCATTCCAGTTTATTTACTCTCATTTTTGTGAAGAAACAACAGAATGATCATAGTGGAAAGAGATCTAGACTGGAGGACTCGGAGTCCAGAGACTTACACTTATCTGTTCCCAGTTTGGCCACCATTCCTGTTGGTCTTGGGCCCTGGACCACATCATCCTTTTTGGTCAATTATGAGCTGAGACCAACTTAGTTTAAAGGTCTTTCCTAGCTATGAATTACAATAACTTAATGACTTTGTGCTTGAGTCCCCTCATCATTTCTTTTCATAACATTTCCTATTTACCTTATGACAGAGGGATCTTCCAGGTTCTAAGCCTGATGGAAATGGACATGATGAATTACACCATCCAGACTCTTTGCCCACACCTGCAGGAACATGCCATCCAGTATGAACGGGCTAAATTCCAGAAGCTCCTCAACAAGCAGCCTAGTATGTATATACATTGAAAGTTGGAGTGGGAACATACAACCATGGGTTTGATTTTTTAAATGTTAGCAAACACTTTGCTTCTTTTTAAGAGTAGCAAATTCTTTCCTCAGACGAAAGAATGGAAAAGGGACATTATCTAAGACAAGCCTGAATTACATTTCCTTACTGACTAGAAGTCTATCTTGAAAAGAATCTTAGTCTTGAAGTCTCAGAAGCTGAAGATGCTTACACATGTCCTTCTCTGTCATAGGCTTCCTTGATCACACCATCAAATGGTTAACTCAAGCAGTAGCAGACCTTACTACACCATCTCCAACTTCTCCTGACACTCCCGACTCCTCCAATGTGGCCTCTCCAGCCCAAAATGAGCCAGCCAGCAATCTAGCACCTCTCAGCCCTCCAATGGTGCTGTCCCAGGGCTTCCTGAACCTCCTTCTCTGGGACCCAGAAAGTGAAGAGTTTCCTGAGGTAGGGCTGAGGAGAGAGGTTTGTTTATTTGTGTTCAGGGAAGCACTGAGCTCTTCCTCTTCTGACGGCCTGTTCTTTATTGGCTTCCCAGACTTTACTGACGGACAGAACCCAGCTACAAGAGCTCGAGTCCCAGCTGCAACAGTTAACCATCCTGGCCTCAGTCTTGCTAGTAGCCAGCAGTTTCTCTGGCAATATTCTTTTTGGCTCACCTCATTTTGTGGATAAACTAAAACGTGTCACCAAAGCCCTGACAGAGGAGTTTAACTCCAGGTGAGCTGTACAGATTTTCCCCCCTCAAATAGATAATTTTTAGAATGATGGATGACATATAGTATTTAGGACATAGACACATAAGTGATAGCTTACTTCCACCACAAGCCATAGAAAGGCCCTTCAGAATCGCCCACAAAGATTACTAGTATCCTTCTGTTAATGGTCTTGAGACTTTTGACAAACAAAATGAAAACTTCCTTCTAAAAAGGGTTATGTTGAGGGAGTAGTTTGTTGCAAAATTCAGTTCATTTCATTATAGTGCTTACTATTATGTAGACATGCCTTGTTCTACTGAACTTTGTAGATGTTGTGTTTTTCATAAATAAAATATTTATGGCAGCCTTGTGCCAAACAAGTCTATTAGTACCCACCTTCCCCACTTTAAAATTTAATAGCATGTGCTCACTCTTCTGTCTTTGTGCTGCATTTTGTTAATTCTCACAATTTTCCAAATTTTTACATAATACTGCTATACATTTAATAGGGAGCACTGATCGTCTAGTGACAAGAAGTTGCACTACAATCCCAAAGGCATGTGGTTCAAATCCACCAGCTGCGGCTCTGCAGAAGGATGGGCAGTCTCTTATGCAAATAACTTCCTCTGTAAACCTGCAGGAGGGTCAGCTATGGGTCGATTCTGACTTGACAGTACATCACAACAACAAACATTTAATATACTGCCCAAAACAAACCAAATCCACTATAGTCAAGTCCATTCTGACTTATAATCTCCATCTGGTTTCTGAGGCTGTAAAGTCTCTTGAGGAGCAGACTAGCCATCTGTCTCCTACACAGCAGCTAGTGGTTTCCACTGACCCTTCAGTTAGTATCATAGCATCTAACTCATTATGCCACCAGAACTCCTTAATAGACTAGGATATACTGTAAATAAAAAGTTATATGCACTGGGAAACAAAAAGACTTTATGATTTGTTTTATTTTTTAATGATTTGGGTTTTAGTGATACTAAGTTTATTTTGGTGATAAGGAACCAAACTTGTATGCCCACTTTGTAACAGTTGATGCAGTAGGACAAATGACTATAGAAAATGTCCAAGAAATTCTTAAAAGATGTACAAATAGACATACAATTCATGATACAAAAACAAAACTGAAGGGAGCTCTGGTGGACTTAGTGGTAGAGAGTTGTGCTGCCAAACCAAAAAGCAGGCGGTTCAAATCTACCCTTTTGCTTCTTGGGAGAAAGAAGGGCAATTTCCTTCTGTGCAATTCACAGCCTCTGAAAATCCTATGGAGCATCTGCTATGAGTTAGTTCTGACTTGACAATGCAACAACAACAACAAACCCCAGACAACTAAGTGGATCTGAGCAAGGATCAAACCAAACCATCCTTAGGCAGAGTTTATTTTATAGTTTATCTTATTTCTTAGAAATTAACAGATTAGTTGTAATCTTGAGGGTAACATGAAGATGCACTGAGCCCTGCTACCTACTAGAGATATGTATGCTGGGAGAAGAAAGGCTGGGATATTTTTTCAGGTGACCCTGGTTTTGGGTGTGGAGCTACCAGAGCTTTGTCCCTGTGCCAGGGTCGCACAGTGGATACCAATTTACTGTTTTCCATGTTCTAGGCCTGAGGAGGCTATGCTGACTGTGAGCGAACAGGTATCTCAGGAAATCCATCAAAGTCTCAAGAACATGGGCCTTGATGCTCTGAGCAGTGACAATACAGCATCTCTGATAAGACAGCTCCAGAACATTGCCAAGAAGGACAACTGTGTCCGCAGTGTCATTGGTGAGTGTGCCTGTGGGAGTGGGAAATTTGGGGAGAGATGGGTCCCAATTCTGGAAGTCGGTTTCTGAATCATTTAGCAATGAAAGGGTTGGGCAAATCACTGTTTAGGCTTTGGTTTTCTCAAAATGTTTTGTTGAAAACAGATGCTTTTCATATTTCTCCATGGTTTCAAGGTATAAGAACTGTCCAGCCAATCTGGTGAAGTAATCTCTGTCCTTTTGGGAAATTTTCTGACAATATTCCAAACTCTTCCTCTTCTGTTAATTTTCCAAACTTGCAGTGGCTTCCCTGTTGCTATGATGCTGGAAACAATAGCCCTGGTATTTCAAATACCAGCAGGTATTTGAAGAAATTAAGGTTTTCTATCAATTTTTGCAGTCTGAAATTGATCAAACATGCAATAAAGATACATTAATAGTGATTGGTGACTGAAATGCAAAAGTTAGAAACAAAGAAGAAGGATTGATAACTGGAAAATGGCTTTGGGGACAGAAATGAAGCCGGAGAGCAAATGATATAATTTTGTGCAATGACACATGGACTTCATCTAATGGGCTGAACAGGCTTGAGATGGATTACATCTGTGGAAAGAGACATTGGAAAAGGTAATTATCAGTAGTCAAGCCAAGGCTATGGGCTGACTATGGAAAGACCACAGACTACTTCTGTCTAAGTTCAAATTGAAGCTGAATAAAATGGGGGGAAATACCCAACAAAACAGTGAGAACCAAAATGAGACCCTGCGTATATCCCAACTGAATTTAAAAACCATAAAAGATTTGATGTACTGAACACTGATGACTAAAGACCAGACAAGCTGTGGGAGGACATCATCCATGAAGAAAACAAAGACAGAGGAGAAAGAAAAGACCAACATTATTATCAGAAGAGACTTGAAACTTGCATTGAAATGAAGCCAAAACAAGGGGAAAGATTGATTGCTGTGGTAAGAAAGCTCAACAGAAGATTTCAAAGAGCAGCTTGGGTAGACAAAGTATTATAATGAAATGTGTAAGAAGCTGGAGTTAGAAACCCAAAAGGGAAGAACGTGCCTGGCATTTCTCAATATGAAAGACTTGAAAAACAAATTTAAGACTCGAGTTGTAACACTGGAGTCTATGGGAAAAAATCTTGACAGATGCAAGAATCATCAAAAGAAGCTAGAAGGAATACAAAGAGTCACTATACCAGAAATAATTGCTCGGCACCGAATCATTTCAGGAAGTAGTATATAGTCAAGAACCAATAGTACTGAAGGAAGAAGTCTAAACTGCACTGAAGGCTTTGGCGCTAGGTGTTGATAGAATACCAAAGAGGCATCTTAGGAAACAGATGAATCTTGTACATCCTCACAAGTCTCTGCCAACAAATATGAAAGATAAGTACATGGTCAAATAACTGGATGAGATTTATATTTGCTCTCATTCCCAAAAAAGGTACTCCAATATACTGTGGAAATTATTGAAAAATATCATTAATATTACATGCAAGTAAAATCTTGCTGAAGATTATTTTAAAATTACTGGAATAGTGCATCAAAAGAGTACTAAATTCAGACTTTAAGCCTAATTCAGAAGAGGCCATGTGTAAACGGTATGGCAATAATGTGGGGGTAGCCAAGTCTGACCTCTACCCACTTCATAAAGGTGAACTGTCCCCATCAATTATGTCCATAACACCATACAAATAGTGATATAGTCGGACATGCCACCCCACATATTCCTGCACCTATTTTTACTAATCATTGGATCCAATGTTCATTGCAAGACTCACAGACTTTACTTAACATTTGTGGGGTTTATTAGGAAAATAGATTGGAGAGTCAGAGAGGCAAAGAATATCTCTCAGTGCAAATCTAGGTTTAGTCCAAGCCAGATTAACAAAGGCACAATTCCTCAATTAGTGAAAGTCCAGGTTTAGATTAACAGCACAAAGGCAAGAAGTCTCTGATTTCCTCAATCATCCAGAAAACTTTCAGAGCAGTTATAAGTCAGCTTTTCCTTCAGTCATCCAGCAAGCAAAACCTTTAACTGTGGCCTTTGTCTCAGAGCAGTTACAAGTCCACTCTTCCTTCAACCATCCAACAAGTAAAACATTCAACTGTGGCCTTTATCTCCAGAGTTCCTCTGGTTATACCTTGCCGCAATTTCTTCCCCACTGTCATCAACTTCTCTTACAGTATGGAAAGCACTCTCTTATATTGGTCCCACAGTTGTTGATGATTTGCAAGACCATGTGTCCACAGTTATGGTAGCTGGAAACTATGCCACCAATGGAGGCTAACATATTGGCTAGAAAAGCCAATTTTCAAAGATTCTGACATCTTACTATGGCACAAGGGATATCATAGTTGATACAGATGGATCTGAATTGAAAGAAGAGAATATCAGAAGATGTTTACTTATGTATGCTTTATTGATTATGCCAAGGCATTTGACTATGTGGATCATAACAAATTATGGCCAACATTGAGAAGAATAGAAATCCCAGAACACTTAATTGTGCTCATTCAAAACCTATACATAAGGAAACTCTGGTGGCCTAGTGGCAAGAAGCTGTGCTGCAATCCCAAAGGCACATGGTTCAAATCCACCAGATGCTTTGATGGAGAAGGAGGGAAAATCTCCTCCTGTACTAGTCGAATCTGACTTGATGGTACACACATGTTGTTAGGTGCCATTGAGTCGTCTGTGACTCATAGCGACCCTATGAAAAACAGCCCTAAACCCTGCTCAGTCCTGTGGCAATCACATTGTCTCTGACACACCCACCCCGATTACCCCAGTCACCGAATCAATCCACCTCATAGAGGGTCTTCCCCTCCTGTGCTGTCCCTCCACCTTCCCAAGCATGATGTCCCTCTCTAAGGACTGGTCTCTCTTTGCAACATGTCCAAAGTATGTCAGACAAAGCCTCAGAATCCTTGCCTCCAAAGAACAGCCCAGTTTAACCCTCTCCAGAGTGAACCTGTTTGTTTTCTTGGCAGTCCACGGTACATTCAATACTCTTTTCCAGCATCAAAGCTTAAAGGCATAAATTTCCCTTCTATCCTCCCTAGTCATTGTCCAACTCTCTGATGCATAACAAGTGATTGCAAAGACCATGGCATGTATCAGGTGCACCTTAGTCTCCAGAGAGATACCATTTCTCTTCAGCACTTTGGAGAGGTCCCTAACAGTAGACTTTCCCATCACAATACGTCTTTTAATTTCTTGGCTGCTGGTGCCAAGAGTGTTGACTGTGGAGCCAAGCAAACTAAAGCTGTGAACAATCTCAATCTCTTCACCACCCATCCTGATGCTGCCAATTGGTCCAGTGGTGAGAATCTTTGTCTTCTTGATACTGAGCCTCAATCCATGTTGAAGGCTGCAGTCCTTGATCCTCTGCAGCAAGCGCTTTAGAGATGATTGTGGAATGAAGGACCTCATGGAAGACGCTTGATTTTAAAATTCGGTTGGAGACAGGAGAATCAGCTGATTGCTCTAAGATGGGTTTTAAAATTTGGTTGGTTGGCCCTCAGGCCTAGTGTTATATTTTAGAGGAACGTATTTCTAAGTCATACAGCACTCTTCTGTCAATTACTGAGGGAATCTGGGTTTGCTGTGATGCTGAACCTTGTGCCATTCGGGTGTCAAATGCCATAATGGTTGCCCATGGTGGGCAATGTTTTGTGGAACTCCAGTTTAAGACAGGTTTGGAAGTAGGAGTGGCATCTACTTTTTAAACCACATGCCTATAGAAACTCTGTGAACTTGGAGAAATGATGATAGTTCTAGAAAGACTTCCAGCTCTTTTGTTCATAGGGTCACTATGAGTCATGATCGATTCGATGGCAGTCAACAACAACAACCAAAACTCCAGCAGTTCAAACAGACCAGCTGCTCTGTGGGAGAAAGGACTGCTTCCTTCAATACTGACAACCTTGGAAATCCTCCAAGAAGTTCTACTCTGCCCTTCAGGGTTGTTATGAGTTGGAATCAATGAAGGTTGGAAACCTGTTTGTTCTTACCCTTCTCACTGCCTTTTTCTTCTCACAGATCAGCGGATCCGCCTTTTTCTCAAATGCTGCCTGGTCCTTGGTGTGCAGCGGTCTCTGCTGGACCTCCCGGGAGGCCTTTCCCTCACTGAGGCAGAGCTGGCAGTCCTGGGCCAGAAGTTTGTCAGCTTGATACATTATAATCAACAGGTGTTTGGCCCCTACTACATGGAAATCCTGGAAAACCTCATCCCTCAAGCCAAGGCCCTATAATAAAAATGGGGTTTCTCTGATAGAACCAGTTCAGAACCTGGCATCTTCGATGCATGAGAGATCATCCTCTTCCTTAGGTCACATTAACAGTAGCCAGTCCTCCCTTCCTGAAGCCAGCAGACCAGTATTGTAGGGGTTAAGTATGTAAACACCAATTAACTAGCCTAAATCCATTCACTAATAAACTTCTGAACTACAAGAAAATCTTCACTTTTCCTGTGTTGCAGCTGAGGCCAGACCCCGTGCATCTCTCACTAGTGGAGAAACCAACTGGTCTTCAGGGTTTTTTTTCCACTGGCTAGGTGCACCCTTTAGCATGCAGAGCTCAGTAGCTGAGACACACAGGTACAAGCATTATTTTCTCCAAGGGTTTCTCAAGCATTTCTCTGAGTGTGTCTTTTGAAGGAAAAAGTAATTTTGCATAATTCAGTTCAGAATAGAATATGTTTTTAAAATGTTAGATATTTGCCACAAATAAAGCTCTGGAACCGTTGTATTGCAAAAAAAAAAAAAAGCTAGATATTATTTCCAAGACCAACTCTCCTAAAGGTATTAAATCTCGCAACAAAGAGACCCAGCCTCCTTTGCTGTTGCATGGTCTGACCAGTAGCAGTTGCCAATAAGTGGATTCCGACTCAGGGTGTTCCCATGTGTATCAGAATAGAACAGTGCTCCAAAGATGCTGGGTTTCCCCCTGCCAAAGTTTATTTTTTATTATTGTTGAGAATATACACAGATTCAACAATTTTTACGTGTACTGCTCAGTGACATTGGTTCCGTTTGTCAAGTTGTGCATTCATGCTCACCTGCTTTCATAGGGTTTTCAGTGGATGATTTTTCAGCAATAGGTTGATGGACCTTTCTTTTTGGTGTATTTGGGTGCCACCAACTCTTTAGTTAGCAATGGAGCTCATGAACTCCTTGGGTTATCCCGGGGGCATGGGCTGAAACAGTATACAAATTGAGGACTAAGGAAAACGAATATTGGCTGTTGTGAAATATTTTGCCAAGTACAAATTCCAGGATTCATGAGATTTCTCACTTCTGAGTGACTGAGGATGGCAATTTGAAGACTAAGGTACACTTTACCCAAGCCGTGGTGTTTTCTGTTGTGAACATGAAAGTTGGGTAATGAATAAGGAAGACTGTAGAACTGTTGACTTTGCATTGTGGTATAGGCAAAATGTATTTTGACTGTCATAAAACAAAGCTGTCTTGGAGAAGTGCAACCAGAGTGCTCCTTAGAAGCATGGATTGTGTGTCTTTGTCTGACACACTTTGGGCATGTTTTCAGGATAGCCCGGTCTTTGGATCAGAAAATCATGCTTGGAAAGGTGGAGGGCCAGCAAAAATGTAGAAGACCCTCTGTGAGATGGATTAACATAGTGACTGCAACAGCGGGTTTAAGCAGAGTGGGAATTGTGAGGATGACGCAGGAGCAGGTAAGGCTTTGCTTTGTTGTCTGTAGGGTTACTATGAATCTGACTCAATGACATGTAACAACAAGTGCTTGATTAAAAGCGTGATTCAAACCCACTGAGAGATACCTCAGAAGAAAGGACTGGTGATCTTCCGTAGGGTTACAGAAAGCCCTATGAAGCCTGTAGGGTCTTTGAAAGCCCCATGAAGTGCAGTTCTACTCTGCACATAAGAGGTTGCTAGGGGCTGGAACAAAGCCAACCAGTGGTAATAGTTTTGGTTTTAAGTGACCACAGGTTAGGTTTGAACAGTTAAGTCAGAGACTAACTTGGATCAAGTTTATCCTAGACCTTGTTTCCTCTCATTGAATCCACTCTTTATTCCGCTCTAATCATAGAACACTGATCTAACAGAGGCAATTGAATTGTGTGTGTATTGTATGCATGCAGTCAGAAGAAGGGCAGTCTCCATCCTTCCCACTTCTAGTCCAGGATGCCAGTTTGCCAGTTGTAGCTGTGAGCTCCCATTGGCATCACAAAGGAGATGTTCTCAGAAGGGCTTTGCTTCTCAGCTGGCAGAGATAACAACCTATCTCTTCAGACCCACTACAGCTCACCAATCTGTGTGGTTACACTCTAGTATGGTTGAAGAGAGTGAAGATTTGGCCCCTTTTTTTCAGCTAGTTTTATTCATGCAAATTTCATTCAGGCTTTGACTCCGAATTACTGCAGTAGGTACAGGCACGTCTTCCACTGCTGCTGCTTGGTCTTCAGGTTCTCCTTGTGCGTGTTGAGCCTTTGGCACGTGACACATGTTTTCTTGGACTGCAGATCCAGGAGTTCTTCCTTCTTGACCTTGTAAAACTTCCTGAGGTTCTCCTGAGTCTGACTGGTAACAGTGAGAACTTAGGCAATGGATTTTCGGACACCTTGAATTTGGGAGAGCTTGGAACCTGCACCACCAGTCACTTTGGCGACATGCAGCTGGGAAACTCCACTTTCAGATCACCTAGCTGTTTAAACAGCTCCTCTTCCTTCTTGCTGCAGAGGTTCTGAAACTTGATTTTGGTCAAGCCTACCTACCTGATCCAAGGCCAAGAGAAAGAGCAGTCCCCTTTTACCTTTTTTTTTTCTTTAAAAAAAAAGTAGTAGGGGGAAATAGAGTAATTTATGCCTTTTCAAAGCTGAGTGAAAAACCCCAGTGTTCTCATTATTTCAGGAAATGTTGGAAGTGGGATATAACGTACTTAATGCAGAAGGAACAGAAGGAGATTTGAGTTCCACGAGGCCAAAATTTTCTTGTAATTGTTTCTTTTTTTGAGGGGTAGATTCTAGATGGGCAGCACAGCTGGGCAGGAGAGTGTGACTTCTAAGGCTCGAAAGGGCTGGAGGTCAGGATTGTTCAAAATTTCTAGTATAGTAATTAGACAGTTTCAGGTTGAGGAAAGTCAGAGCAGGTGTCATGTTTATCAGCTAGGCAGAGAGGCTTGCCTAATTGAATTCTCGGGTTTAATTTGCAGCTCTGACTTTAAATTTTTTTTTAAAATGCTACATTTTGGAAACCTGATTATTTTGGAGGCAAATGTGCTTTGAGAAAATTCTCGTGAAGAGGACTGCCTGGCTGGGAGGGTGGAGACACCAGATTGAAACGGAACCCTGGTTTGCACATTATTGGTTTGCACATTATACTTCAAAGTTAAATGACTGATTCTTAGAAATTTTGAATTGATTGTTTTGTACCTCCACATGGAGGAGAGAAGAATCCTGACCCTAAACAAGAAAAGGTACCTCCATTCCATTCTTCCCACTGGCTTGATAAAATTTATTATATGTATTTATAATTTATTAAAATTATTATAAAATACACTAGTACAAAACCTTCTCATTAGAGAATAACACACACAATAATACCATAACAATAATATGCAAACCATTATTTCTGTTTATTTCTGTCAACCTAAAAGGAAGACTTATACCTAGTAAGCAGTCACTTCATTCTTCCTTCCCTTAGCCCTTGACAGCCACTAATATGCATTTGCCAAATCTGGATAGTTACTATAAACAAAATCATACAGTATGAGATCAAAGTTCATCTGTACTATATCATGTATGTGCTTTCTTTGATCCGTTTTAAGACTGAATAATATATGGATACCACTTTATCTATTTATTAGTTGATGAACATTTGAATTTGCACTTTTCCCATGGCTTGGCTATTCTAAATAGTGTGGCTATGAACATTTGTGTGTAAGGGTGTGTGTGTGTGTGTGTGTGTGTGTGTGTGTGAGAGAGCTTTTGAATACTTGTTTTAACTTCTTTTGGATGAATGCCCTGGAATGAAATTTCTGGGTCACCTGGTAGCTATGTTTAATTGACTGAGAAACTACTAAACTGTGTTCCCTCCTAGCTGTGCCATTTCACATTACTGCCAGCAATGTGTGAGGGGTCCAATTTCTCCACATTCTCACCAAGTATTATTTTATTTTTGTTTTAAATAGGAGATATGTTTTAATCTAGGGGATATGAAGTAGTATCTAATTGTGGTTTTAATTTGTGTTTTCCTGATAGCTAATGTCAGGATTTTATTTCTTTACCATATTCATTAAATCTGTACATTGAGCAAATAATCCAGGAAGCTGAGTATGAGTATGGAGAAGAGCAGAGATTCTTAGTCATCAGGACTGGAGAAAGAATCATTAATAATTTCTGGTGTGCAGATGACACAACCTTGCTGACAAAAAACCAAAGAAGACTTGAAGCACTTAGTGGCAAAGATGATAGCCTTCAGTGTAGATTACACCTCAACATAAGGAAAACAAAAATCCTTACACCTGGAGCTGTAAGCAACATCACGGTAAATGGAGAAAAGATGGAAGTTGATAGGGGAGCTCGGGTGGCCTAGTGGCAAGAAGCTGCGCTGCAATCCCAAAGATGGAAGCTGGTAAAGATTTCATTTAATCTGGATCTACAACCTATGGCCAGAAAGGCAGTAGTGAAAATATTAGATGATGTATTGCATTAGGCAAATCTGTCGCAAAGGACCTCCTTAAAGTGCCAAAGAGTAAAGAGATCACTTTGCGTAATAAGGTGCATCTGACCCAAACCATGAGACTATCAGTCATTTATTTCATATGTCTGAAAATTGGACATTGACTAAGGAAGAGGAATTGATGCCTTTGAATGGTGGTGCTGGCAAAATGTTGACTGTGCCATGGACTGCCAAAAGAATGAGTTTGTCTTGGAATAAGTGCAGCCAAGGTATCCTTAAAAGCAAGAATGGAAAGACTTCCAGCAGGTTATCAGGAGAGGTCCAGTCGCTCCTTGGAGGCGGGTTTTTTTTGAAGCTTCATCTCACATCCTTTGGGCATGCTGCCAAAAAGGACCAGTCCTTGGAGAAGGACATGCTTGGAAGGGTGGGGAACTGCACAGAAGAGGGAGATCTTGGATGAGATAGACTGACACAATAGGGTAGGTATGTCAGAGGCAGTGAGATTGGCTCAGGTTAAGGCAAGGTTCAGAGCTATTGTGTATAGGGTCTCTCTGAGTCATAGACAACTCAACAGCACATAACCACAACAATAG